GCCCAGCTCAGGCCTGCACAGAAGGCCCCACGGCGGCTGACCTCCGCCCGGCCACGCGCGCTCCCGGCCGCTCACCTCCTCAAATTTGTGAATCTGCCGGATGAAGAAGTCCCCATAGCGCCGGGCGACTTTGGTGTCCGCGATGTGGATCATGTCCTGAGGGAAAAGCAGAGTCAGAGAGACGACGCAGCGCCGCCACGGGCGTGCAGGTGACCACGGGGGCGGGGCCTCTGGAAGAGCGCAGCCTGCAATAGCGGCTCGTGCTTTCCAGATGGCTGCTTTTTACTTCCCTCCTCTGAGCTCATTTATTTTTATTTTCTAGTCCTTTCCAATGAACATGACTCATCTGACAATAAAACCACTTAAAATAGCATCTTATACTCTAACACTGCTATTAAGATTGTAAATTAGTCCTTTTTAAAATTTGTTTAGCTCCAAATATTTTGCTCAACACCATTCTGCTTGTAAATGTCTATGTAATCTAGGCTAAGACCCAAAAGCATTCTGAAATCTGACAGGAATTTCCACTTCAAGAATGAAACAGACAAGTAAAAACAAAACCCAGAAAGAGACTATTTGCAAAGAACCTGGCCAGCAAGTGGAGCAAATCAAAACCGAAACATAAAATGCAATTACGTTTCTGATTAAAACAAGGGGGCCCTTTCCTTGGAAGGGCAGAAATCATTTCATCAGTCACCTATTACTAGTTAACCTACTACGCTCACAGCAAAACTCTGCTTGACCACTGAACCGCCACGCCCCGGGAGGGGGTTTACTGAAGCCCATCAGGCCCGTGCCGCTGGTCCCGGGAGCAGACGGTGCCGCAGGTCAGTGTCACCGCTTGAGACCGACAGCAGGGCACTGGGGACCCGAGTGGAAAGCACCGTAGCAGCTGACTGACTGCGGCAGGTGAGCCGGCATGTCTGACTGAAACGCGCGACCTGCGCAGCCCGGCCCAGGCCCCGTGGAAACACTGCACGCCCACGGTGAAGGGACGAAGGGCGGTGGAGCCCAGGACGCAAGGACATCCAGCACAGCGAGGACAGAGCTGACTCCCACCTGCAACCTGCCCAGGAAGGCCCATAAACGCATCTTAAAATAAACATCACCCGAGCTGTACGCAAGAGACAGAACGACGGAGGGCTCAGCAGAGTGAGGGTAATGTTCACTGGGTAAGAACTTCCGAGGGAAATACAAGCGAGATGGCATCTGAGGGATACTAAGAATATTCTAGAAAAGATGGCCCTCCCCGGTGGCGCAACAACGGGCTGGAATGCAGCACTAGGAGGCTACCACAGCCCCTGCAGCACGAGTTCGATCCCTGACCCGGAGCTGACCCCCAGGGCGCAGCCGACCTCTCCCGCCTCCCCGCTGCTCCCCTCAGCAGTGTGCTTCGTCCATCTGCCTGTTCTGCTCCCCTCTGATGACTCTTCTCACCACCCTGCACCTCTGGCCTGTGCCCCAGTTCTATACACATAAATAAAACTTAAAGAAAAAGAGAAAAGAAAGGCGCAAGATGCCGGTGCACTGATTTAAGACTACCTGAAGTGCGTGACAGGAGCCCAAATGCAGGTGTGGACACCCCACTGCCCGCACAGGGAGCAAACAAGCACAGAGGTGACCTCACCGGGGGCAGCCCTAGGAGCCTGGCATGTTTGAGTCTGGGAAAAAACTCACGTATTTTGGAACACATCAGGACGTAAAAATGTCCCAGCTGAGCTTAATCCCAACAGTGAACTCGCGCAGTGCTCCTGCCTCGCCCCGGGAAGCTCGGGCAGCTTCCGGAAGCTTCCAGGCAAGCCCACGGGACGGGACCTGACGCCCACTCGGTGCGCCCACTGTTTGCAGTCGCTGAGACCACCCGCCTGCCCGCCCGCCAGAGCGACGGCAACGGCCTGGTCAGCGCAGCAAGCACACGCGACCCACGCTGCGCACGGCGCTGACCCGCGTCTCCACCCTGACCGGGCAAACGACGTCAAGATGTGACACGCGTGATCCTGTCGCGATCCGCACAGTGCTCACGCAGCTGTGGTGTCGCTGGCCCAGGAAAAGACCCCCTCGCAGAGGCACCGCCAGCACAGGGCACTAGGGGACCCCGGGGCCCCACCCCACAAAGCACCCCAGGACTCACTCCAGCCCCGGGGTCGGGCTCCACTGCTCCCTCTGCCCGTCCCAGCTGGTGCCTGGCTGACTCGCTCACCTTCAGCCTGAGCTGAAGTCCACGCTCACCAAGGCCCGTCCTGAGCCCCACGCTGACCCCGCAACCTGGCCTTCCACGCCACCCCACACGCCAGAGCACGAGCCAGTCCTCGTTACTCCAGTTTGTCAATCACCTTTCCCGGCTATACCTCGGCACCCGAAGGCCGCACGCGCTCACTGATGTGCCCACGACGGTGACTGCCGGCCACGGGCGCTCGCTGGCCGACGGGCAGTGTCGCCCAGAGCTGGCCGGCGGGCAGTGTCGCCCAGAGCTGGCCGGGGCAGCATACCTTATCAATGTAGAAGTCGACCTCAGAGGCGGACTGGAACTCGCCGTCGAGGGCGGAGATACCGCTGGTCCACACCAGGTTCTTCATCTTGTGCTTGAAGACAAGGAGCTGGATACGGAACTCCTGCTCCGTGAGGTCCAGGAAGCCGGCCAGCTTGGCCACAGGCATGGTGGTGTAGAGCTTGAGGAAGCTGCGGATGGTGGAGAGCTGGGCCTGCTGCTGCACCTCATCGGAAAACACCTTCAGCTGCTGCAAGAAGGGCTCCTTGTGGTAGTTGGGGTGCACGTTATCGTAGTTGGGCACCACCGGCGACAGAAACTTGGGGCAGGAGTAGCTGAAGAGCTCCTCGTAGACCTGCGGGTCCCCCTTCTGCATGCGCAGCATCTTGTCCCCGTACTTCTCCCGGAGCTGCAGATGGATGCTCTCGTCGATGCGCATGGGGTACATGGTGAGCGCAATGGCCAGCAGCGCGTGCATCTGCTCGTTCTGCTTGTTGATCTGAGTCCGGGAGACGGGACAGTGAGGACCAGATGGCCCCTGCCGTGCTGGCCCCACCGACCTGCCCCGCAGATCCGAGGGCTCCCTTGTCTCACACTGCCGGCCTCCCAGCCTCCCACTCCTGACGTTCTGGCCCAACTCCAGACAGACCCTCCTCCTTGGCTGCCTGCTGCGGTCTCTAACCCCCACAGCAGGCCCATCCTCCAGTCAGATCAGTTACTCAGAAGCCTCTGGTGCTTCCTCAGCGTCAACAAAGACCTACTACTCCCTCTGGTAACAAGGCGACCCCAGAGTCTAACATCCAGCTCAGCTGCTCTCCTGCCCCCAAGTCAAAATGGTCTACTGTGCTGCTTCCCGGTCTCAACACCTTGCTCTGCCTAGAAAGTTCCTCCCAACACTGTGCGTCTTGAACTCACCTTCCCAGACGGCAAACTGAGGGCAGTAACCACTCAGCTAACTGTTGCTAAACACTATCAAAGAACGAAGGACACTGTCCCCATTATTGAGGTGCTACCACTGAGATAACACGCTTAGGGCAGCCTGCCAGGAGAGCTTCGTGTTGAAAAGCAGCAAAACTGCAGTCAGGGTTTACCAAAACCACCGGCACGGGGGCAGGACCCGGGGTCGGAGGCCCCTTACCATCTCGTACTTGTACGTGGTCCTCTGGAACATGCTCTTGGTCCTCTGGATGTAGAGGAGGATGTTGGCAAAGACGCGGATGGCATCCTGGTAGCGACGCATCATCAGATATGCAAAACCAACGTAATAGTACGTGGTGACCTGGCACTCGGGCACACGGGAATACATGCTCTGCGGAAGGAAGAGGAAGACACGTTCAACCCACCCCAGAGAGAACCTGAACGTCAGTGGAGCTTACGGCCAGCTGAGGGGGAAGCACTGAAGCGCCTGCCCAGAAGCACCTGCCCAGTGAGTCACATGCCCCAAGGCCTCCATTTCTTAGCTCCGACGGGAAGAAAACAGACCAGGCAATCCTGAACCTCTTTCAGCTTTAGGACCCTCTACAGGGCCTCCCTGGTAGTGCAAGGGGTTACATCCCAGGGCTACCAAGCTACAGCCACTGCAGCACCCCCGGCCAGGGGTGACCCACAGGGCACAGCAGACCTCTCCTGTCTCCCTGCTGTTCCCCCCGCAGTGAATTTCAGTGGATCTGCCTGCTCTACTCCCCACTCTCTGTCGCGCTCACCGCCCTGTACCCCAGCTCTTGTATAATAAATCTTTAAAAACAACAACAAAAATAAACACTCTACATCTTAGTTTTCTCCCTTGCTTTCTGCTCCCTGCTTTTACAAATAAGCCTGATAAAGTGTCAGAAAAATAAGAGAAACACACCAAACAGAAAGGTATCTACATTTCTGTGGTTAGGAAAAAAGCAACCACAGCTAACCCGGCCCTTTATCATCTTAGAACTTACTCATTCTTTCAGATGAATGAAATCTCAACAGTAAAAATTTGCCATATCAGGCCCTTCCTGGTGGCGCAGCACTGCAAGCCAGCCGCAGCCACATCAGTTCACATCAGCACCCGAGGTGACCCACAGGGCACAGCAGACCTCTCCTGACCCCCCCGCTGCTCCCCTCAGCAGTGTACTTCGTCGATCTGCCTGTTCTGCTCCCTACTCTGTCTCCGGTGACTCCTCTCACCGCCCCCGCCCCTCTGGCCTGTACCTCAGCTCTGTATGCACAAATAAATACATCTTTAAAAAATAAAAATAGTGTTTAAAAAATAAAAAAAACCTGCCATTATTCTTCTTTTCTACAAACAGAGCCAAAGACTGCTGAGTGGCTTAAACGTAACTGAACAGCAGAGGAGCGGCCTTGTCCGCTTAAGACAGTCACAGTGACTGGCTCCCCGGTCTGCCCTAACAACACAGCATCTGTCCACGCGCAGCCTCCTGGCGCGGGGACGGGGGGGCCAGCAGGAACGCACCTTCTTGTTCAGCTCGATATTCTCCAGGACCTTGACGGCCTGGTAGTAGTCGCCCAGCAGCGAGTGCAGGCGCAGGAGGCCCACCAGGCTGAAGTAGCCCAGCATCTTGTAGAGGGAGTGCCGCCCGTACTCCCCGGCCACGCTCTCGGGGTCACCTGAGACAGAAAGTTTTTGGTGCCATCAAAAACTGGAGTTTTGAAGAAAAATTAGCAATTTTATAAAACCTTTATTTGCCACTACAAACCCAACAGTCTCCAATGAAGACAGGTAAAGGCCAAGGTGAAATAACAAATACAATTTTTAAAAACTGTAGGACAGAGGACTATCTGGGAAATGGTTTCAGTCGAGGAACCAGTACTTTTTCCTAAGTCGTGCCTGGGTAAAAGGCCCATGAAGATGCAGGACAGACCAATGAACTTCAGTGAAAACTCACTGATTTGAATGCAGACGCCTCACTGCATCCGACCGGGAGGAAAGCCCCCCCGGCGGCAGGTAAGCTACCCTCCCTTTCCCAGCTGAAGGCCGGCAAGGCCGACTTCCCTTGTTGTCCTTCACCCTGGACAGTGCAGTACAACGGGCTGAACGTGGAAGCAGAAATGAGACTTCAACTCTTCTCTGAACAGACACGAAAGAGATCTG